CTGGGAGGGCTCTGCCCTTTAAGCTGGGACTTGCACGTGGCTTTGCCATGAGAGGACTGTGCCCTCTCATTAGTCCGAGGCTTGAACCTGTCCAAATGCTATAGGTGCTCTCCACACTAGGAGTGCCAACTGTCAATTTTATTGCTTCTCTTCATGTTCTAATCCGTGGTTCTGCTAGAAGTCACACATTACTATAGCAGTGGTCTGCAAACTGTGACTCTCAAGCCACATGCGGCTTGAGAACCGTGGTTTGCCGCTCTGTTGAATAATGAGTTTGCCGACCACTGGGATAGGGGCTTAATCACAAGAAACAACAACAGCCTGTAATTACTAGACTCAAGAATCTAGGCCAGTGGTCGGCAAACTCATTAGTCAACAGAGAGGCAAATTGCGGTTCGCAAGTTGCAAGAGGGTGCCGACCACTGTACTATAGTATTTACAGGTAGTCAAACATGGTGATCAAGGAATATTTTGCAAAATTAAATGATTAATATTACTGTTAAAATAATAGATCAACAGTTTTAACATATGTGAAACATGATATCTGATAAGTTACCTTGACAACTAGGTGAACTTTGAATGGCTAGATTTGTTAATAGGTTCCCATTTTATTAAAATTAAGGCAGATTAAATTTTCATTTTTAACTAATAATTTTTTTAAGCTTTTTATGAGCAATCATAATTTGTAGTTTACATTTTGATTCTAATAGATAACTGAACCATTTGGAAGAAAATAGCTTTCATTAACTATAGAAAATTAACTTTAATTTTCTAATTTAAAATTTTAATTTACATTTTTATGAAAATGTATACACACCTTCTGAATAATCTGAATATACAAATCCTTTATCAATGTTGTCTACTACAGTGGTCGGCAAACTGCGGCTCCTGAGCCACATGCAGCTCTCGAGCCGCGGTTTGCTGCTCTGTTGACTAATGAGTTTGCCGACCACTGACCTAGATTTTCGATTCCAATAATTACAGGATGTTGTTATTCCTTGTGATTAAGACCCTATCCCAGTAATTGACAAACTCATTAGTCAACTTAGCGGCAAACCGGTCCAGCAGAACTTCCTATGATGATGGAAATGTTTCACGTTTGTGCCATCCAATACAGTGGCAATGAGTTACATGTGGCTACTGAGCACTTGCAATATAGCCAAGGCCACTGGGTATGCTATACAGAATAGCATAGCTTCAGGTCACAGCTGTCATTGGAACACAAATTATGTGATGATCTTCATTACAATTAGTGATTTTAGTGAAATAAAGGGAAAATCAATTTTGTGGAATATAATAATGAATGCATTATGTATGTCTTTATTTTATTATTTATCCATACAGACTATCAACAGAAAATCTAGATATTCATAATGTTATATCCAGTTGTCTTTGATATTTTGCTGTCTTTTATCATATAAAAACTATAGGTTTTCTTATATTTCAATTTCGTTATATTTGTCAAGTGTCAAGGTAGGAAGATATGAACATTTGCTAGCTTAATTAATAACCTTGTAGTATTTAGACATATGATGGGTCTCCATTTGTACCCATATCCAAGCCCACCGAAATCAGGGGTTGGCCTGACATCACCCCAACTCTGACCAGCCACTCTGCTAATGTCACACTGTCTCTGAGAGCCAGGAGTGTCATGTGGTTGGGTTAAAATAAAAAAATCTTCTCTCCCAAAAAAAGAATCTAAAGCAAATGTCCCCCTGGAAGGATTCCAACAGGAATTCCAATACGTTCATTTTCATTTAGAGGAAGTCCATTCCATTCATTTTCAATAGAAACCTTTCATTTGGTGTCAGCACTGCCTTGGCGGATTACTTGTAAGAGGGAGTTGTTGTGAATTGTGAGAGCAGGAGCTGCTGGCAAAACTGCATCGATGTTTGCAAAAGTGATTGGGGATTGTAGGTGAATAAGGGTAGAGTCAACTTAACATTGTACTGTTAGAGGACAGAGAGGCTCCCACTAAACTTTAGGCAGCGGAAGGAAGGGAAGGATGTCTTCGGGTTAGCAGGGTAGCAACAGTGCCTGCAGAGTTTTTCCTCCACTGGGGCAGCCACTTCCTACACGCCCCCCCTACAGTCCCCCCTTCCCCATGCCACCCCACCTTACACATTTCCCTGTTTCTGAGTGGTCCAGTTCTAAGGCTCTTCCACACCTTTTCACTGCGGTCACCAGGGGATTGAGTGCCCGCTGCCACAGTGGTAATCTGCTCATTAATACACCCTATATTGACTTCTTTTCCCCGCTCTGTCTCAATTTCCCATTCTGCTCATACTGCTTCCTGGCATTATTTCCTCACTAAAACCCACTTGCCCTTAAATCCTTACTTACAAGTTTGTTTCTGGGAAGCCCAGCCTAAGACAACCTCCAGCACATAGCACACTGCCTGGCATATATGATAGTATGGCCTTAGGAGCTATTGGCTGGAAGAATTAACATATTTTGCAAATGAAACCCTACCCTAATATTAACTTCCTTTCATGATGCAAAGAAGTCACTCAGAATTATTTTTTTATTTTTATTTTTTTAAAATATATTTTATTGATTTTTCACAGAGAGGAAGGGAGAGAGATAGAGAGCTAGAAACGTCAATGAGAGAGAAACATCGACCAGCTGCCTCCTGCACACCCCCCACGGGGGATGCGCCCGCAACCCAGGTACATGCTCTTGACAGGAATCAAACCTGGGACCTTTCAGTCCGCAGACCGATGCTCTACCACTGAGCCAAACCAGTTTCGGCAGAAGTCACTCAGAATTAAAGTTACTAGATTGACTTCCTTCTCCTCTGGATCCTCCATGTATCTTCTAGCATAAAAGTTACAATGGAAAGCACATGATCACTCAAAAAAAAAAAAAAAAAAAAAAAAAGGAAATTGGCCACCATCATAGCGCACACACAACCTCAATTAAATGGAAAACCCAGGTAGTAGATTGGACCATCCTCACTTGCTGATCCTTAAGAGCATGTGACTCCCCTTCCTCTTTGATACTTCAAATGTTCATATGTACTTGTTGAGCCTTACCTTTAAGGCTCAACAAGTACATATTTGGGAGAGGTGGCAGGATAATGTAAAGTTATATTAAGAAGTAAATTATTAACATAGAGCCTTTTAAAGACACTTCTAAAAAGGACCTAATAAGTAGAATTCCTGAAGAGAGAGGACTTGGGAGTGGTTGGCACTCCAGATGCAAAGTTGTCTAGCAACTGAATGTGACTCAGGAGGTGGCAGTGGTAGTGTATCCGTGCGGGTTGGTTCTGGGGTTCACTGGAGACAGGATGGAGGTGAGCGTGGGATCAATGCACTTTAGGAACCTGTATAAACACTAGGGGAAGGCCATGCAGAGAAGCCTTGGGCACATCTATATCATGGATTTGCCTTCCTGCCCATGCCATTGCCTGTGCTAGAACACAGTGTTACTCCTGGTTACTTTGGTTTGTAATTTAACCTCTCCCCAGGCCTTATATTGTGTTCAGTTAGGCCTGGGCATCTATAGCTGCTTAGTGCTGGCTTATTATGCGTATCCCCAGGGAGATGGGAGTTTTGGAGTTATTTGTTTTTGGTAATTATTTTACAAAGTGGAACTCTGTTCTGAAACATCTGAAGCTTTTTTCTGAAACAACTGAAGCCTTTTTTTTTTTTTATCCACTTCTTATAATCATCCCATACCCCAAATGTTAAATGAAATATTTCAAGACATTATTTATTACCCACACCTCCCCTCTCTCTTTTTCTCAACACTTTTGCACTAGAAACAGAAATCACTGGCTATGTCCAAACCCTCTTTTCGGTGAGACGCCGCTCTCCACGCGGCTTGCCCTGCCCGCGGCCGGCTCCGGCCCGCTGGGGATGGAGGAGGCACAGGGAAGCAGCAGGCGCCTCCTGCCTCGCGGGCGCTGGACTGGGGACAGCTAAGCGCTCGCCGGTCCCGCTCCTTCCCTGGCGTCGGCCAACTTGGCTCTGCCCCGGGGCGAAGAGCAGCCAGGGGCGCTTCGGAGCCTCCCCGACCTCCGGGCTCGGCTTTCCCGCAGCCTCAGGGGAGAGCGGGCCCTGCAGAGGGGGTGAAGCTGGCCCTGCAAAGGGGGTGAAGCTGGCCCTGCTCGGCAACACCAATGCCCGCCTTCGGTTCGAAGCTCCCCCGCCCGGTCCCGAGGCCGCAGGCCGCCGGTCCCATCGCCACTCGCACAAACTCCTAGCGGCACCGGACCCGGGACAAACTTCTGGCCGAGGCGCAGCTCCCCGCCCGCCCAGCCAGGAGCGGTAGCCGCGCCTGGGGCCGGTGGAAAGCCTCCGCGCCCTTCCTCTGCGCCCCGGGAGCGCCGCATCCGCGCGGCGGTGGCGGCGGCAGCAGCCTCCCCAGCCCCCGGCCGCGCTCCCCCCGGAGGCGCCGCTGCTGCCCAGCGCGGGCCGGCGGGGAGGCGCTCACGCCCCCTAGCGGAGCGCGGCGGCGGCGCCTGGCGGCCGTGACGTGAGCGCTCCCTCCAGCCGGCCTGCGGGGCACCGCCAGTCAGTCCGGGAGCAAGCGCCCCGCGCGGAGCCGGCGCGGGCTCTGCTGCTGGCGCGCCGCCTCCCGGGGGCTGGGCTCTCGGGGCTGCCGGGCGGGCGGAGGAGAGGCAGGCAGCCGGCGGGACGCGCGCGGCCACGGCCACGGCCACGGCCGGCGGCTCGGACCTGAGCGGGGGAAGGACAGCAGCGGCGGCACCCGCCGGAACGGAGGGCGGATTGGGGCTCCGCGGACGCGCCCTCAGCTTCCCTCTTGCAGCAGCACCAGACGCCTCGTGGGGTCAGCGGCCCGGCCGGAGGACCAGGACCCTGTCCCCTGGCCCTGGGAGCCGCTGGAGTTCGGACTTGTGCAGCTGCTGGCACTTTGGGGAGCCCGGTTCTCTTTCTCGTCGCCGCCTGGAACCCAAAGATCCCCGACCGACCGCCCTCCGCCCCAGCGCGCCCACCCTCCGCCGCCCGGGAGCGGCCCGGCGCGCGCTCTGCACCATGAGACTTGGGATTGGCCTGGCGACTTTGGCCGGACTTTTGCTGACTGCCGCCGGGGAGGCGTTTTCAGGTAAGCGGGGCCGCTCTGGCCATCGCCCAGGGCAGACGGGCCGGAGCGGGAGCCCGGGACGCGGGCAGCTCCGGGTAGGAGAGTTTGAGGCGATCGAAGCGTCCGGGGAGGGGGGCGCGGCGGGCTGGGCACCGATCCTGCCCGTTAGCCGGCACCGGGTGGGTGAGGGGCCTTTGGGGGGAAGGCAGGCACCTAGAACTCGGCTGGCAGAGCGGACTGGCCGGGAGCACCAGCCCCTGAGCCAGAACCCCCTTCTTGGCCCCCGCTCCGCTGCTCCGCTGCCTGGGCTCGCGGTGATCCGGGCGGACGGCCATCCCTCCGAGTCCCCGGCCGGCCGGTTCCAGGAGGAACGAACGGCGGAAAACTTTGCCTGAAGTTGGGAGCTGCAGCCGCCAGCCGCCGGGCGTGGGCGCTGCGCGGTGCTGCAGACCCGGAGCACAGCGGCGGCGGCGGCCGGGCGGGATCCCCGGGGCTGGGCTGCGCCCGCGGCGATCGTCCCGCCCGGCTGCAGCTCCGGGGACCGGGACGGCCGCCCTGCGCCCCGCCGCTCCTGCCGCCGCCCCGGCCGGCCGGTCCTCCCGGTGGTGGCCAGGGATCCTCAGGCAGGCGCGTGGCAGCTCCGGAAAGCCAAAGCGGGCATTCCTCCTCGGTGCCAGAGGGAGACTCAGCGGCCAGGAGGGAATGGCCGGGAACCCAGGCCTCCAGCTCCACTTTCCTGCCTTGGATCCCCAGCAGAGCGCTGCTGGCCGGTGGCAATGTGTTAGCCCAGCCGCGCCGCGCCGCCCCGGGGGTCCCAGGTGGGCAGGGAAGGGACTGGCAATGTGTGTGTGTGTGTGTGTGTGTGTGTGTGTGTGTGTGTATCTGTGTGTACACGTGTGCCTGCTTGCAAGCGAGGAGTGTTCTGAGTGGGGGGGTCAGTGTTACAGGGTTACCTCTGTATCGCCAGTAGTACGTGGAGCAGCACACGCCTGGATGGGCAGCAAACTCTTGCACATTTCACACTTTGTTTCTCATGTGTGTTAGTTTCATTAAGGTCCAGATACAGTCGTGGCACTGGGCATCTTGCTTTTCTTTTCGTAAAAAGCCCGCTGTTTGGCCTTAAACTTGGGTTGAGGAAGTAGGTTTCCATTCTGGAGGAATGAATAAGTTGGATTTTATTATTTTTTTTTTTATTTTTTTTTTTTTGTAATTTGATGGAGATTTTCACTAGTAGTAAACGCACATTTTGAACACTGAAAATGACATTTGGCTCCCCGGCCTGTGGAGACGTTCATTTTTACATCTTGGCATCCGAGGCATATACGGGCACAACATGTATATTCTGAGCTTCAGGACCCCTGACCACAGCTGGTGGCAGAGGAGAAGCTGAGCTTGTGGTTACTTGCCTAATGGGCTCAGTGCTGTGAAAACCAAACCAACTTCAGTAGAGAAATACCCTCTCCCTAACTTTAATACTTTCTTAGCTGCCTGGTAATTGCACTTGCTCCAGAGGGTTTAACAAGATGACACGCTGACATCAGATATAAGATTGATGGAGATTTTGGCCTGCGTTCTTTATTAGTGAGACAGGGAGCAGATTGGCCAGTTTTAGAGCTTTACAACTCCTTGGTATTAGAAGGCAAGCATGAGGACCTTAGAACTATAACTCCCCTGCCTAGGATCTGTTTAAAGTTAAGCTGTGTCACATAGCATTTGGATGGATTTTTAAGTTGTGTGCAAGAGTTTGGAAACAGATATTTATCTAGCTTATGTACATAATTTAGTTCCTCATCATTAAAAAGTATTTCAGCTTGGGTAGTACTGTCCTGTGTCTGTGTTATGGCCTCTTTAAATTATCAGTCGAACCGAAACAGATCTTTACTAAAATTTAGCCAGATTTTTTTTTTCTCTCTCAGAGGAAATATATCATTCTATTTGACTGACTTACCATACCATGCTTAAAGTGTATTTCCTCTATATTTGGAAAGCCAGAGTTATCTTAATATATTCACGGGTAAAGGGGAAATGAAGAACAGTATCTGAGAGATTGCTTAGAAATATTGACATTATAAAAATTTGAAGTTGGCAAGTTTTGGGTGCCCAAGGTTCAGTTATGTTGCAGCACATTCCTCCCTTGGAAAAGTCATGTATGTTGAGAAAGTTAATTATGATATTATGAGAGACATGGCAATTTCTTTTTATGATTCTTTTGGAAATTGTATTAATGTGGCTACTTTTCACCTGACATGGGAATCAATTTTAAAGATAGAGAATCTAGAATGTAAGCTTGTTGAGGGCCAAGTCAATTATTTTCCCTTTGGTCCTCCATAAAACAGGTAGGGTAGAGCCTTAGACTTAACATACTATTTGTTGAGTAAGTTACCAATCCTGATCATTTGCAAACATGCAAGCAAGTACTCGAATTGACTGACACAAAAGGGGAGGGAGAGAAGTGATTGTTAGAACTGGCTTGCATTTTTCCTCCTATGAAAGGACCTCCTGAGAGGTCCTCTAGCCCCCCAAAGGACTGACTTAGGAGGTTCTATGTAATCAGTGAGGTGTTTTTATGTAACTAAGATTTATACACAGGTACTTGGCTGCTCCTCTTACGCAGTACTCCTCATTCTCATATCCTCTTATGGAATGGGTTTGGAATTTATATAATTGTTAATTAATCATTTCTGGAAGTCTACTACATGTAATTTGCATGCCAGACATCAGAAATAAAGTGCTAAACTTATTGCAAGGAAAAAGAAAAGAAAAAAAAAAAAAGAAAAGAAAGAGGTTTTTGGTCCATGATGACTTCATCTACTTGTAAACATTTCCATTTAAAAATTATTATTTTGGTAATTTTTAATTTGTTAGGCAAAATATTGGAGGCTCACTTTCTGCCTTCTAGACTTTTAATGAACACTAAAAATAACTTATGTAAAAAAAAAAAGTACAAGTAAGCTGTGAGGAAGAAAGTTAAATCATTTTACTTTTGCTTGAAATTCTTTTCCATAGTGAAAGCCAAACAGCTGGCGAGTTATTCCTCTTTCATCCAGTTTTTCAAAGAGCCAAGTTATAATATATATTATACAACAAAGTGCCTAGTTTTGCATTATAATGGGACTGGTGCGCTAAGTTCTGGTAAGCAAACTTTGCAGAAATAGAAATACAGACAGATTGGGCCCTTTGTTTCACTATTGTAAGTATTTGGAATAGATTAAATCTTAACATAACTATGAATTTGGGACTCTTGTTGAGAGATTCATTTTTCAAAATATTCTTTTAAGGACGTTTGTTGGGAAACAGTAGGATTTAGTTAGTAGTATTGTACCAATGTTTAATTTCTTAGTTTTGGTAAGTCTGTGGTTATGCTGTGCTGTGGAAGGCAGGTAAAGTGTGTACTAAAAATATTTGTACTATATTTTGCAACTTTTTATATATGTCCAACATTATTTCAAAATACAACAATTTGACATATTTAAATTTATAAAGAGTGGGGATAGATTTGGTTAGCTGTTTGACTTTTTCTTTTTCAGATAACTAGAGTCATGACATTTTATATTTTTATGGTGCTTTCACCAGATTGATCATTGATGTGATGAAAATACTTAAAATTGAAATCAATGAGCATGAAAGAAATATGCCCAGAAATTACTATAACATTTTTAGTGTTGTGAGTATGTAAAGTATTGTGTGAGCGCAGCAAATTATTCTGATCTGGAAAATTAAAGGATTTAGTCTCTCCTGTTTTCAAAGGGCTAGTCTAAAGGTTTTCAGAAGAGAAGTTACTTATACATAGTGATATATGGAAAAGTAACATATATATTATTAGTGAGTAATTCTAAATGAACTTAATGACAAATTAAATTGTATTATGTGTTCAGATTATATAAACTGTATATAAGTTTATATCATAGAAAGTTTTTTTTTTACAAAAGTTTTAAGCTCACTCATGATAAATTTCAAAAAGATACAAAATAATAGAAACTTCACATCATAGGAAGAGACAGCTTCTCAGGCTCCTAAAATACGGCCGTGGTTTTCAGTTTAGTCGCCAGAAAGCCTGAGTGTACACTGCAGCTCCCAAAACCTGCTGGGGAAGACAAGTAGTAGGGCTCAGGCTCCTAAAATACGGCTGTGGTTTTCAGTTTAGTCACCAGAAAGCCTGAGTGTACATTGCAGCTCCCAAAACCTGCTGGGGAAGACAAGTAGTAGGGCTTGGAGTTGGGTGGGGAGCAGGAAAGCTTTAGTCATCAACCTTGGTTGTTTGTAGTCCCACCACCAGTGGGGCGGCTGGCAAGGCCAGGACATAATGAAAGGGTGGGACTGTGCGAGAGAAAAACAAAGAGGACCATACATGAGAAGGAAAGGGTTGTGGGCTCAGGTATAAGCAACATAAGTTCTGGACATCCTAGCAGGGGCGGCTGGCTGTCCTTGCACTCTCTTTACTGTTAAGGGTGGAACATAAGGAAGGGAGGGCAATCAAGAGTGACAAAATCGCCGAAACCGGTTTGGCTCAGTGGATAGAGCATCAGCCTGCAGACTGAAAGGTCCTGGGTTCGATTCCAGGTCAAGGGCATGTATGTACCTGGGTTGCGGGCATGTCCCCAGTAGGAAGTGTGCAAGAGGCAGCTGATCGATGATTCTCGTTGATGTTTCTAACTCTCTATCCCTCTCCTTTCCTCTCTGTAAAAAATCAATTAAAAATATTTAAAAAAATAAGAGTGGCAAAATGTGCAGATAGATCTATCCCTCAGCAGCTTCGGTGGTTTCGGGAAGCACTTGGGCGTGCTGAGCCAGTGTTGGCAGTGAACTTGTTTAAGCCTTTGCTTCTCAAAACTTAGCGTGACCAGGACCGCCTAGCCCTAGAAGGTAGCCCTTCCCAAGGTTGGTTACTATGGTGAGCTGTAGTGATGCTAACGTGGAGGGTCCCTGGAGGCTCCCACTGCATCCCCACGTGATCCTGGTTGGTAGCCACATTTCTGAGAAACGTTGTTCCACAAGAGTAGTTTTCCAAGTGTTTCCTTAGA